AACTTCTTCCGCAGTTTTGAAGTCAAACAGAAGCGAGCAATGACGAAAAAAGAGCCCGGAAACTTTTAATCAAGAAACTTCTTAATCGTTTCTGCGCAATAATTTACGTTATTGTCAATTCAAACTTTTTACATTGGAGCTTTTAAAAACTTTGCTCAGACGGAATGAAACGAGGGAAGGGGACAATTTGTCTACTTTCTTTTCCTTTTCGTTTCTGGTGAATAAAAGAGTCTCGGTGTTGAAGCGTAAACAAAAGAAAAGAAACGTGTTGACATGAAATTATTAAAGTGGTTGTGAAGTGAGGTTGCCGAAGACAGGATCAACAAACTTTAGGGTCTTCAATGTAAGAGCCCAATTTTCAATTTATTGAAATTGTTATTTTTCATCATCAATAATTTCAGCATAGCGAAGACAGTAAACATCTCAAATTCCGTGGAAAGAGAGACAAATCTTAATGAATTTTTAATCACACGGAAAATAGCGACACTCAACTTTTAAAGCACACTCCATCCTTACTTTGGCATGGGAAGGGCAAAAAAGCGGCAAGGTTTACATGGATAGTAATTACGTGAGATTGTAAGGCCTGTAATTTATTCCCTTCTTATAGCTCGGCGTTATAGCTTCGTAAACACAGATATTGCAACGCTATCATGCCAAATTTTTTTCTCTTTTTTTTGTGGTAAAAATTTAACAAAAGCTCTCTAGCCAAAAATAAAAACAAAATTATATTTTTATTTTTATTAAACTGGGGTGACAATCACGGTCACCCCAGGTCAATCAGGGTCAATAAGACGGTATGAAGTAAGAAGATTTTTTCCTGCAATGAGGACATCTTTTCCTCTGAAAGCACACATATGCCTACACTGCTACTATTTACACATTCAATTCATGAAAACCTTAATTTCATTAGTTATGCGTCTCATCAATTCAAGAGTACCGCGCCCCAAAAAATTTCGTACGTACAATTTTATTTTCAAAAAGTTCATACAATTTATCATTATTTTTTGAGATCAAGGGAGGAATTTTAACGTTTCTATTGTGGAGAAAAAAGGGTCAAAACGGAAAAACGTCGAGAAATCAATGTACGTAAATTTATTTGGACCGAGTTAGGCAGAAAGGAACCAATTAAGCCACATCAGTTGTTGTTGAATTTAAAAGGGCAAATCAGTTTTTTACATGAAAGCGGTTTTGCGGATTTTTGTGCAAATTTCAGTGAATTTTCTGCGCAGTACGAAGCAAATTCCGTAAAATTTTTGAAGGCCTCCGTACAAACGTGCTATTGTAAAAAATTAAATTGCCCAGTTAAATTTTGCAGTAGCTGATGTGGCTTATTGGTTCCTTTCTACTAAACGCATTCCATGTATAAGTAAAAAAAAAACTCTTTGTTTTGACTCATCTCTGATATAACTTCTGGGTATGTCACAACCTTTAAAACCTTCTTTTTGGTCCTACCATATCTGTAAACAGCAAGATGTGCATTCAAGTAAACTTCAAGTTAAATCAGGAGGTGAGCTCAATTTTAGACGCAGACTTAACTTTTTGTGTAAGGTTGTATATGGTACCACTTCAATCTAAGCTAAAAAACCATCGATAACAAATTAATCCGTATCCAGATTGGATTATAAGCTAATAGGGTATTATGATATTCCATAAAATCGATGAAACTGATCTACGAATGAAGCGGGGTTAATGAGCATAGTTATTATACATGTTTCTAGTTGTTCCGGCAGGTCCACTATTCAGGAGCTTTTCCCATTAATTTCGCTTCTGAGGGTTGTTTCGTGGAGAAGACATTAATTTTCCCATTAAGTCCACCCTAAGCCTCGGTTTAATTAAATGAAGCATCGCTCGAGAGGCCTTTTAGATCCTGACCTAGAGGAATGCTAATTTCATCTCACTCTGCGGTTCCGCATTAAATCTCCATTTTATATGAGCATAAGACGTGCTCCAAAACAGCAGCCCTCTAATAAATATGCTTCAAGTTTTAATTTCTCAGTGATGTAATACATTAGTGTGCGTACATCTCACTGATTCATCAATAATTTTTCTTCTCTGTACGATTTAAAGAATATACAAAAGTATGATCGGACGAATATTGTAGTTATCACATACACTCTTGGTGCATGAGCATACGTTTTTTAGGAAAAAATGACGTGACTTTAGCAAAATAAATTCAATAAAAATCGAAATTCCAAAAAGGGGATATGCACACAGCCAATAATATATTTTAACATATTTTCGATTCGGCTTTCATAATATCTTAAAATAAAATACATGTCATTTTTTGGAAAGGGAAAATTGCAAATGCGAGTAAATTACGTGTCGGCAATAACTTATTTTATTTGTGAGAGAGGTTCAATAGCTATGAGACATTTAACTCATATTCTCAATTTTATTTTTTACATTTCGCTACAGAGACTGAAAACTAACATAACGAGTATCTTACGAGATAAAAAGTTCACGAGTATCAACATCGAGGGGAAAACCATTTAAGGAGCTCATTCCTTGTTGTATTATTACCTCCTGAAGGGATCTAAAGATATTAAGTCTGCTTATTATACTTATTCCTGAAACTTTGCGTAACAACGCTAAAATGGTAAAATTAGGAGTATGAGTACCATGTTTTAGACATGAAAGCCACGTGATTATTAGCACAGAATTTAACGTTTTATATATTTTAAAAACAGAAAAAATGAATGATGAACTTAAGAAGTCTGCTACGGCCTGTTAGTTTTTTTAAAATGTTCATTTATGAATGAGGACTCTTTCAGAGTTAAAAGGTTGCTTTGCGTACATATTATTTGAAACACAAGAATAATCTAATCGTGTGTAATGCGATTTATTGGACATTGTTACACTAAATTGGTAGCAATATCTTTAAATACTTTTTTAAGACACAATTAATACGCAAGTAGATATACCTTCATTCAATGAGTGCAAACTTTCGTTATTTATTAAAATTCAGGGCAAATGATATAGTCTCAGTTCGGAGAGTTGAATTTATCAGACAAGCAAGACAAGTTGAATTCACTCAGTTGGAGCTCACTACAAAGTTTGTGTGGATTATATTGATCTGAATGAAGAGTATATCGATGCGTAATCTGAATTTGGGCCATTTCAGCATGGTACAATAACGATTTGCTACTTGAAATTGTAGTTTATAGTCGTTTTGAATGATTGTAACGGACGATAACCCAGTTAAAACTATGAAATTTATGTTCATGTACTAGCAAAGCACAGCATTGCGTTTTCGCAAAAGCTGCGAAAAACGGCATCACTTTATCAGCCGTAATCACCTTTCCAACCAAAATGACAACCACGGTAAAAAAAAGTGCATAAAAATTTGAAAACAATTCGGAAAAATTAAAAATGAGAAAAGAGAACAATGACGGTAAGTGCAAAATTGGTGTATTTGATAAAAGTGCAGTTTGAAAAGGTGCAAGAGAATTTCCAGTGCGATATTTCAGTGCAACACGAGCTGGTGCAATAGGTGATTCTTACCAGGACAAAAGACACGGCATAAATTAAAACACTTTCGTTACATTGCCACTTCAAAATTTCACGTGGAAAATATCACACGGAACCAAAAGCTCTGGAGAGAATTCTAAAACAAGGTAAAAGTAACGGAGATTCACATTCATTTAACGCAAATCACCGTCATCGGTTTTCCACTCGGACTCGTTCTCGCTAAAATGAATTACGTGCAAATGAATTAAATCAAAAAGAGCTATGAAATACGCTAATCTTATGCATATGATTTTATTTGATCTTATTTATTTTTACGTAGCTTCTTTTAGCACAAAATCGCTCACTTGATCAATACGATACGCACATGTAAATGATGAAGAATTTGCACGCTAAAATCGCATTGCCTCATTTGAAAGTGTTTGATGAGTCGAGTTTACAATATTTTTTATAATTTTTTTCTCATACATGGGTAATTGCCTACATGGGTAATTGCCGAGAAACAGATTTGAAAGTGAAAAAATGTACTGCATGTGACGTCATAAGGCGGCATTTCCCATTTCAACACATGTATTTTAGCAGATTAGGACATTTGGTCACAATGGAGACTTTGCAAGGGTCTGAAATTTGATGAATTTCGTGTTTAAGTGGAATCTACCGGGTGAACTGAGCACAGACATACCCTTCATTCATGAATTGAGCAATTATTACAGAATATATGACAAAAATAACTAATTCTGCTAAAATACATGCGTTTAAATGTGAAATTCCTCCAGATGACGTCACTAGGCTGTGCATTATCTCACTTTTAAATCTATTTTTAAAGTATTTCCCATGCCCGAAGAAAATTATAATAAAATACTGTGAAATCAGTTCTTTCAGCACCTCCAAATGAAGCAATAAAAAATTTGCGTGCAAATTCTCCATTCCTTGAACACCTGTTCAATTTAAAAGACGAGGATGTTCTCGTATTTGATAGTTTCAATTCAAACACGCCTTCTCCTTTTTTTTCTAACGACTAGAGCATAGCCCTGTTTGTTAGGTCATAAAGTATCGCACTAGAAAAAAACACACATTAGATCTAGAGTCCAGACTCTTGAAAACATTGACAAGAAAATGGACTCTTGAAAACATTGACAAGAAAATGGACTCTTGATTCAATCATATTTAAGCTTAAATCAAAAGGAAATCCGCTCAAATTAAGAGGCTTGGTTCTTGTCGATGTTTTTAAGAGTCTGGACTCTAGATACATTGTGTTTTTTTTCCAGTGCGAGCACAATAAACTATATGTAAGTATTAAAAATCTAAAAATCACTAAACATGTAACTTTACACATGTAACTTTAACATGTAACTTGTAACTTTAAACATAATTTATGAAATTTGAGACACCTGCAAATTCTCCCAGAACTTTTAGTTTTGTGTGCAGTTTCTGAACGTGAAATTTCAATTAAGTAAAGTAAGCTACCTCCAAGGTGGTTCAATCTATACCGCGGCTTAAGGTCCGTCGAGTGGCGAGTGAGCTGGCGGATTTACCTTATTCAAAACTAAGTAAAACCGATTAAATTCCCGCGGAAAACGGAGGTGCAGTCGGGCGGCGTGGACTGAGAGGGGGTAAACGACTCGGCGGCGACGGGGTCTTTCAAAACTGAGGGAGCGATCCTTCGGGATCCGGACTGCAGGGTCCCGTAACGATCGTAAGGGCTCAGCGCGCAGACGCCTCTCGACTTGCATGACCTTTGGTGCCCAATCCCCCGTCTCAACCCCCCCCCCCCCCCCCGCACAGCGCGAGGGGTGCACTTATCCGCGGCCGGGTTCCCCACGATTTCTCACTCCAATTTCGCGATATTCGTGGAATGTTCTTTGATTACCGCCCGCTTCTTTTTTTTTTATCGACGGGGTTTCATTCATGCAAGAGGCGTTTCGTTCGTCTCGGCGTCATCTGTGACGTCAGAGGGTGTCTCGCCGCGGGACGCAACACGTGGGCGGAGGCGATGAGATTTTCTCCCGTGTTTGTTCCGCCTAATTCTCGGGCGTTCCGCTTCTCCCGCCTTTTTTCGGCCGCGTCTTGTTATCTTATCTCCGCCGTGGCTCGGCCGGAAAAGTCGACGTATGAAAATATGATCTTATTTTAGAAAAGGGACTCGCCAGAGCGCTTCAATATTTGGACATGGAGGTACTACCTACATAAAGATTGATTCAATCCAAAATAACTGGATCGGTCAGCTATAAAATGGCTCAACCGTCAAAAATGAGACTTTGAGAAAAATTTTAAAACCCGTTTTAATTGACCCCTTGTAAATCTCAGAGCTCTAAAATATTGAAGCGATTTTTTTAAAAAAAAAATTCTTTTTGCTTTTTTCATTTATTTTTTTTAAAATTTTTTTGTAACTTAACCTAACCTGACCTGACCTAACCTAGCCTTACCTAACCTAACCTAACCTAACCTAACCGAACCGAACTTTTTTTTCCCGTTTTTTTTTCAGCCGCGCCTTGTTATCTCCGCTGTGCCATCGCCGGAAAAGTCGACGTATGAAAATATGATCTTATTTTACCATAAGAACCCGCCAGACCGCTTCAATACTTGGACGTGTTTTTCCTGGAAGGTACTCCCTACATGAACATTAATTCAATCAAAAATAACTGAATCGGTCAGTTACAAAAGGGCTCAAGCGCCAAAAATAAGAGTTCGAGAAAAATTGTAATGACCGTTTTAATTGACCCCTTATCTCAGAGTTCCAAATTTTAAAGCGATGAATTTATTAATCACATTATTAATTCATCTGCAATTTAAAACGGGTTGGTTTATACAGATTTTACTTTCTTTGCGTATATTTATATCCGGCGCTTGAGCCCTTTTGTAACTGACCTATTCAACTGTGCCTGAGGTTTACTCGCTGCATTTTGATTTAATTCATTTGCGCAAAGTTCTTTTAAGCGTAAGTTCGCTCACTATATTGAATACCACGGCTTAATCGAGTTCAAAAGATAGAAACCACTTTTTTTAATATTAGGTTAACAGGTTTCATAATTTCAATTTTAATTAACTTCAAGACATTGATTTGTTAATTTCTGATGGAGATTATCGAATTTGCACTATTTTTCTTCATAATAATTTCGTTCTCTCCCTCTAGGTGCTAAAAAAGCCAAGCTAGTGCTGAAAAAGGAAATAAGTGCGTAACAGTTCATTCTCAGATTTTATTTTAGTGAAATCAATTCAGAGGAAGGAACCAACTGTATTGTATGGCGATGCTTAAGCAACTGACAAGCACAAAACTCACCCCTCGTTTGCCAAAAACTCGGTTTATTTCTTTCAACTCAAGTTTACACCTGATTCAACGGAGCAACTATTCGTGCTCGGCGCTGTGCTGGTTGCCTACACAATAATGTTCAGGCGTTTTATAAAGGGCCGCTCCATTTAGAAGTTGGCAGAATTCCATTCAGTAGAATACCTTAAATAAGAGTATCTGCAAGATACGCTCTTTTATAAAGTGTCGGTTGACATTTTAATATAAAAGGAAGTGCATTAAAAGAACAAAGTGTAACTAGCTGCACAACGTTGATCCCTTTTTTATTGAAAACTTTATTTTTAATATTTTCCTAAGCCCGTAATGGCGTCTTGTGCTTAGATTTTCACTGGTCTTTACAAAAGCGGAAAATTAAATTAATAGAAACGTGAGCACGGCTTTGATGCAAGGCTGGGAGGATCGGAAAACTTTATTATTAACTTAAAGTGACGCGACGCTTGAACGGTCTCCGGTACCGTTGCGATGAAACTTCACAAAATAAACTGATAGAAGAATACGTTCGAGGAATACTAGATTTAAATGAAATGCTACGGAGAGTTCTAAGCAGTGTTCGAAACTCACCTTGGAGTTTTAGGAGCCATGTGGCGCGTCAAGCTCAATTTTTAGGAGCCTGATTGACTTTTTGCCCATATATCACGGCGCATTTAGTGAAAAGTTAGACGTAAGATATCTTAGTCACAGAACTAGTAGCTGTAACTTGGGGGAAATTTCGGAAAATCACCAAACAAAAAAATTTACCTTTTCTTTGGGGGGGGGGGGGAGGAGCAATTTTGAGGGGCCACGTTGGCGCAGGGCCTTCTTTTCTTAGACGCCATGACCGATTTTGTTGGCACATTTGGCGCGTTGGTGCCTGCGAGCTTTGAACACTGGTTTTAAGACTTATCTCTCTCTTCTTTCCCCGACTAAATGTTTAAAGAAGATTTAAGTATAGATTTTTTTTTTATAAACCTCTAAAAGGAAGTGAAATAGATGAACTCGAATGAATTATTGAATAATTCAGATACGTCTTTTAGTAACAGGGATGGATCGGGTGAAGTCTTGAAAATTATTTTTATTAAAAAATAAACAGGCGTGAGTCTACACAATCGAAATTTACAAGGAAATTACAAAAGAGAGAGAACTGTGGAGACACCCATGCGACCAACGTGCGGTAAATAAAGAGATAACAAAGTAAGAAGGACAAACCTTCAACGGACTAAGAAATTACGCAGTTCTAAAAATTCCAAGTTCTAAAATTTGATGGTGTAATTATGCAGAGAAAATCAAGCATCTCGGACATCGAAACTTTTGATTTTCATGCCGTAGATGCGGCCCCAATCATTCCAGTTAATCGAGCCATTCTTTTATATGGCCAAGATTATCCAAGAAGAAAAGATAAAAAAGGAGGACAAGAGAGGAAGAAGGGAAAAGAAGAATTTCTTGCTCATCGTTTTTTTCGGCGCCATACGTGAACTAATGGACCACTAGATAAGGTACGAATTTCTGCATTCTGATACATGTTTCTTGACCAAAATTTTACGTAAAACACGATGCACACAACAAAAATTACCGAAATTAACTCCTTTCGAAGATATTTAATGATTCTTGACGCGTGAATTCAAACCACCCGTTCATGAAAACTCAATGCTCTACGTGATTCACATCGCGCGCTAAACATTATCATGACAGTCTTTGCGATATAAAAATCTGGCAACCTTAATCTTGACGCTTTGGCTCAGTTATAGCAAATTGCTAATAGTTTGAACAACACATGGTGGAGAATGAACATTGCTCGATTGAGAAGCTTGCTGAAACCGTTGTAGTGGGCGATTTGACTCACGTAGAGCTTTGAGTTTCTTGTGAGCGGGCAGTTCAAATTCCTCGTATCCAATGTGAAATAAAAACGTTAATATCTTCGTTAGGAATTGGTTTCAGTAATTTTCGTAGTGTGAATCATTTTCTACGTGAAATTCTGGTTAAGAAACATGTATCAGATTGCTTAAATTCGTATCTTGTCTAGTGGTCCATTGCAAGAAGCTCCCTCCGAGTGACACGAGGCGAAATTTCCCGAGTGGATTATTTGGTCCAGTTTTTCGACCAGATCAGCAGAGTTGCAAACCGAAGGAGAAAAACGCTTGGATGAAGTCAAGAACTAAACACTCAGTTGCTTGATGAATTTTGGCGATCGTTTGCATCCATCCACTTTTCAACCGAACCTCGGGAGGTGAGGCGAGAATGGAGATGTTGCATGTGTGAGGAATTTGCGAATTGACTGTTGATTCGTATGTGAAAGTTCGCAAGAAACGCGATGGTGCCATTGGTTTTCTCTGAAATCAACTCCCAAGCTCAAAAGAAGCTCTCAGGTTGAGGCCAAAATGGAGGGGAGCCACGCTATCCTGAGAGTACACCTCTACATCAAGACGAACTCTCCATGCAAAGATAGGGAGCAAATACATCGACAGGACTGCCACTTTATTTGGGAACTTCAAAACTGAAAACACGGCAACCCGACCACGCCGACGGCCAGGCGACCCGAGTGTGATGGTCTCAAACAACGGTTGTCTTGGGCTGGTACATGGCAGGGACAGAGGGGGGAGGGGCTCTATCTGGAAGCGCAAGGATTACCACTTGTGTGGTATTTGAAGTAGTAAAAAAAAAACCCCCTGCTAATGTATTTGCTCCCTAACTTTGCATGGAGACTTTGCCTTTATGTAGAGGTGGACTCTCAGGACAGCGTTGGATATTTCCTCCATTCTGGCTTCAACTTGAGAGCTTTTTTTGAGCTTGGGAGTTGATTTCAGAGAAAATCAGTGTGGCACCATCGTATTTCTCGCGAACTTTTACACAAGAATCAATTGTCAAATCGCAAATTCCTCACACATGCAACATCTCCATTTTGGATGTGGTCATCATTGCTGCCAACATAAAAACCAAATGTTGTAAGCGCATCGTCGCCCAGAGGGAATTTTGTTTCGTTGCAACGGAGCTTGGCAGTAAGTCAAAAACTTCGACCAAATCCACCCGCGCAAAGCCTACGAAGGGAAACAAAAGTAAATTAGTTAAGCACACGGAGAAAAAAACCTCGTGCGTGGGACCCGAAGTTTAGGTCATATGGATCTCTGAAGTTTTCAGATTGAGCATCTGAACACTAAAGGTCTGGCTGTCGAGGTTCGGATCACACATCTAAAGTACTTCAGATGTGAGAACCGAAGTTTTTTGGATGTGAGAACCGAAGTACTTCAGACGTAAGAACTGAAGTTTCAGATGTGATGCAAACCTCAGCATCTGGACCATAAATGTTGGAATGCTTAATCTGAAAACTTCAGAGATCCATATGACCTGAACTTCGGGTCCCACTCACGAAGTTTTTTCTC